CACAGACAACCTCTCGTCAATATGCGTTTTTTGCATTGCATTGCTGCAAAAAACGCATAAAAATGAATTAATTTAACCGGTAGGACGGCTGCGTCAGATGAGATCGAGTGTGCTCCTCCATCACCGTAACGTGTGCAATAACAAAACCTTTGCAGATCTATAAAAGAACAAGTGCATTGGAAACATCAGTAAGCTCGTTTGAATGACAACTACTGGGCCCTAATCTCATTTGAGCTATAAATGTGCGTTCTTGTATGTCAATCTTATACTGGGCTCGAGACTCTGTAAATGGTGTACGCGCAAGTGGAACAAAACTGGTAAGTGAGCAGCAGCAGTAGCAGCTGACCACAGATCTTTTTTCGCAAAATTATTTAATTACTTTAATACATATTTTTAAAAAAAGTCGAAATCAGTTCTGTATTCACCTCTCTGTGGGAAGCAAAAGTCCTTGGAAAGTAGCCTAAGTAGTAGCAAATGCCAACAGCATCTAACGGCTGACAAGACTGCCAACGGCTCCTGATCAGTGGCTGAGTGGAACTTCCAAGCTACGAAACCACAACAATGCTACTTCCTACTGTGCCATGCCCATCGGCTTAATATAGATATGTGAAGCAAAATATACATATGAACGTTATGTACAAGAAAGCGTACACTGCATATTTGTGTGACACATATACTGTGATCAAGGAGAAGGCTGCCCTTGGCAATCAGGTTGTGGGTAACAATTTCATTGATGGCACTGGGATGCTACAACATTCCGGGCGCTGTTATGCTAAATTATATGTATATATATAATACATATAAAACCTGAGTGATTATTTTTGACCATTTCTAGATAAAAGAAAACTTCGGGGAATCAATTTAAAAGGACGACAGAAGCCGATGGCAAATGTTTACAGGACGCTGCAAAAATCTTACCTGGCATTGTACTTCTCGACTGGAAACTTCGCTGAAATCAGGAACAATTCCCATTTTTAACGAATCTTCGATGACAAGACTTTTTTCTGCTCGTTGTGTATTGTATAGCTTGGGACGATACTGCAGTTTGCAAAATGAGATTTTTTTTAAAACAGAATTCTGGGAAGAAAAGTAGTTAAAATCAATTTTAACGGTTCATCCTCCATTCAAACTACAAATTTTTTTGTCACTGGAAGAACTGAGAAATACAGGATATTTTTATCAAGATCTCAAATTACACGTTTGATAGTGGCTCGCTTCTTTAACACTTGCGCAGAAAGCAGTTCACGACTATTCCATCACTCATATTATGCCGTAATGCATCTTAAGTTTGCTAGAGCAACATCACGGTTGGGCGGAACTTTCATGAAAAATCATGTTATGATTGGAACATGCCACAGTGTATGGGATCATGAAATCTTTAGTAGTGTGCGGTATGGATTCTGTAGTGAACCAGCTATAAACTGAACGCATATCTAAAAAATCCTTCTGTCCGCATTCCGCTGGAATCTCTTGTATGTGGAGAAATGAAAAGGTGATTCACTGGTAGTCATATTTAAAAAATGGCGATTTAAAGTAACTAATAAGAGGAGAGATAAGTTGGGAAGAAGTGTGTCTTTTTCGTGCTTTTTTTTTCATGGTTTGAGAAATTTGGGCACTTCATTAGATCCGGATCAAAATTCAGGAATTCTTTACGGTCATAACTTTGAGTATTCAGCATCATTCAGTGTGCAGCACATCACAAACAACAACTCAGTGACTTGAATCCGATAATCAGATACACAGACAATTCTTGTAAATCGTGTCACTTCCGGACATTATCCTCTTTTACTAATCAGCAAAAAAAGCTCTACGGATGCCAAACAAATGCGTGAGAACCTGAGCTGAATATTTCATGAGCAGTTGTCGCTGTACGTTGGTGCAGCTGGTGGATGCTGTGGAAGTGGATTCACTAGCACTTCGTGTTACCGTTTCGAGGTGTGCTCGTTGCAGTAAATCCCGTGTGTGCTCAACACATCTTTCTGCAATATTCCAAGCCCTGCAACCATAATTTCATCCTTGTAAAGTGTTGCCTCAAATAATGCATTAAGGGAGCAAGCAAAGCAAGTTCCATGATCAGATCGATCCCGAGCTTGCTTATTTCTTCAGCTTTAACAGGAAAAATTTGATGAATCAGGAAAACGGACTCGCGTTCCAGTTCAGTGTTGATATCTCGGATAACTTCTGCTCTGCCGCCATGCACTTTCTTGATATGCAATATAATAAAGATTTCTTTTCGATTGTCGTACCCACAAAAGCTGCACTTGTAAGGACGATACTGCAAATGCGATTCCACATGCATATATCTGAAAGGTAACTGTTTCGACGTGCACTGCGAGCAATACTGTGAATACAAAGAGAAAGAGCGTGGAAATCCAGAATGCAAAGGCAATGTGAGTGGAAATCCGGATTTTATTCAAAACTGGCTTTACGACAGAGATTCTTATCCAGTACCTGAGAATGCTCTCACTGTCACTAGTTTGAAAAGCACGCCAACCCGTGCACAAGAAATGCTCATCTCATTCTGCTCAAAGTTTTCAGGATATAAACCACACCGCATCCCACCACCACGTGATCAGGTGCGGCTTTCGGATTACGGCAAAAAACTACGATCACAATCAGCAAAAATTAAGTCGTATGAAAATGTTGGCCGCAGTCTCGACTTAAAATTTTTTGAAAAGCAATAGAAAAATTTTTCTCGGCATTTTTGCTTTTCCCAGAAATTATAGCGACCAGTTACACATAGCTGAATAATTAATACAATAATTCGTTTCCAAGTAGCACAACCTGTTTTGAGAAAAATCTAGCATTCTGCGCACCGCTCCACTTGCTGTCCTCACTTTTCCCTCACAACTACTGTATAATTTGGTGGCATGTTCAGCTTTTAAAATGAAGGGTGCGTTATTTTCACCTTAATTGCTTTTCTAAAATATCACTTAGTTTTGCTCAAAACGGGGCCACTCCCTTATTTTCACATCTCAGTTATGGGAACTGTGGCACTTTCATTTCTTCGCTTTCGACAAAAATTCATCATTTCTTACCAAATTTCAAGCCCAAAATTTGAACCATTGTTTAATTAACGTGCGTGCTTCGTCAAATTTTGTTCTTTTCTGGCTAACTTCCGTGTCACTGACTCAGAACTTTTTGCACGTGAACGTATTTCTGCCACTCGTTTCACACCTTCCCTCTTCCTCTCCTCCTTCCTGTCTGGGCACTCCTAGAGGGCAAAAAGGTCACCCTTTGGATACGCCATTAATGTATTTTATACTTTTTTCGTACTGTGAATATAAAACAGGTTTTCATGAGTAGTGTCCGGGTATCATTCCATTTGCATCCGTCCTTTCCCCTCCTTTCTCTGGTTCTTAAGGATTTGCTCGGCGAAAGTGATTTCCCATTTTTAAAATCAATCTCCGTGCATATGTTTTGTTATTGTGTTGAAAATGCATTGACAATGGGACCGGATATGTGTCAATTTGTGAACCGGTGGACAAGGAAGAGGATGAGGAAGGAGGCGCAAAGACGAAAAAATTAGTAGGGCAATGGAAATGAATGGAGGGGTACCTATTCCTGGAACACACCCATTCTCGACACAATAAGCACTGGATATTGGGATAATAAGCTGCATCGTTATGTTTGGTTAGCTTTGGAGTAGTCAAACGCTTGACAGCATGCTTATTAGCAGCATGCAAATGGACACTTCCGCCGCCTTGCTTCTGGTCGTTGGAAGAGCCGTCTGGATCCGCGCTACTCCCAGTCACTGCCAAAACGTCCGTGTTTTCACTTCTGGATGAGCAGTCTTCGTTCAGTTGTTCCGTTTCACATTTTATCAATGGTATTACTCCATTTGTAACATCATTCCATCCGGCACCTGCAATAGCGATACTCGCTTCCGCAAATCCAGCAATGAGCAGACTTAAAAGACTTCCTCACGCATTAAGCAAAAATTTGATAGCACGAGCAACAATTTTAAAAAGAAGCAAGGTGCAGATCGAATCAGTTATTTTGCTGCTCGGCTCTCTGGAATTAGCTAGGAGAGGTGAGAGGCAAAAGAGAGGAATTCAACGCCACATTTTTTTCAAAGCGCTGTCCACAACGTCGTCAAGGCTGCTTGGTGCAAAAACAAATCGTGGAAAAATAAACAGTAATTTGTGGCAACTTACAAGCTGTTTCATGCCTTTTCGATAACGACAAATTGATGGGCTTCTCAACTTGGATGCCTATATCTTCCACGTTGCAAGGCTCAAGTAATTTTTTCCGACATCCTGAAATTAGAGCCTTGGTAAAAAATTCACATGGGCTGAGCAACGAATGTTATGATGAATTGCGCACCATCGCTAATTTGTTGCCAGAAATAACGACCACTCAGCTTCACCAGTTCCGCTTTTGGTAGCACTGTATGTTCATTAATGATCGTCTCTTGTTCGGTATCCAGAAGTTGCGCATGTACCTGGTTGTAGCCACTCGTCCGTAACGCTAGCAAATATGAAATGCATTTTTGCAAATCTGGATGGAAAAACTGCTTGAACTTACAAAAGCTATACACGTTTTGTAACTTGCAAAGATTGTAGCAGATACATCCATACTCTCACTTCCAGGATTACAAAATCTCTAAAACACGGAGTTGTCTGTCGGCTATTAGATGGCACTGTTTCGAGAATCAACCGCCTGTTTGTACAGGCTGTTGATCGTTCCTTCTCCGGCGAGTGATCCAGTAAAAAGAACTCCCATGAAGGGCCGACAAATTCAACCCCACCCGCTGTAGGGACCTGAGCGAGCTGATCCAGGCACTCAGTGACGCAGTGGCAATGCGGTACACCGAGCGATCCGAAGATAGTAATGATGAGGTGCTTGATTCTCAACCGGCAATATTTAAAAGATGCTGTTTCGCGGTAACAATGAATGAATATCAAATAAATAATGTTGAACAAACTTTTGGATGAGGAATGATCTGGAGAGTAAGTGAACGTTGAGGTCGCCTCAGTTTCCATATCGGCATCATGCTTGATTCGCTTAACCAGATCTAGACAACAGATCATTCAAGCTTTATTGGTCGCTCGTCTTTCCGACGTGTCGACTTCTGTTACCCGAAATGGATGAACAGGCATCTCATTTTTCCAGGAAGTGGAAATTAGATTCCGAGCCCTTACTAGTAACTTTCAAAAATTTCTATCCACTGCTAAGCGCATTCGGGAGTTAAATCAAATTTGACAATGTTGCGCCACCACCAGCAAGTGGTGATGTTCAATAGAGCCATCAATGCCATTTCAGAACTGTTGTCTAGTGACTGTGGTAATCTCTTCAGGAGAAGAAATGAATATTGGGATGGTCAGCAGACAGACCGATGAGCAAAGCAGCACTGGCCAATGCAACTGGAGAAGTGGTCATTTTAAATGCATAATCATGCTGTGAATTATAAATGACTGAAATAATTATAAATTATTAGCGATTCCTCATGATATTTAAAATGTATACCGATAATTTGCTGTTATCTGATTTTTTCCAACGCACTACAATAATTTTTTCACTAGGGTGACTTTCACAGTAAAGGTCAACACTGATCCATGCATAAATCTATACCGTTTTTTATTTGTAATAATGTGTCATGTTTTATCGTTCTCGTGGTGGAATTATCCATGGAAGTAGTGTGTGAGGAGGAAGGAAGGGAGAGAACGAAAGAGGGATTGGTTGAGCCGATAATCCAGTGAAAAGGAAAGGAGAAAACGACGTAGCGAAACAATAGTGAAATGAAATGCCAGTTGTGCGCACGAACACAATATACCCTCTCAAAACAAAGTGTTTTCGTTTAACTGAAATAATAAATGAGGGCGAAGTGTTCCCTCAGTTACACTGAAACATTTTCAGACGCGGGATACATCCGTGACTTTTTTAAATCTCTGTAACTAACTGCGGTGTGTTTACTAGAATACGGCAATTTTTAACGTTTTGAAGCTGAATTTAACGTTTTTGAACGCATTTTTTGTTTTTCCTAGTGTCAATTAGCAGTCTTCGGCCAATTTTCCAGTTAAATTTTTTGTAACAATCTTTAGCAGTGTGGAACAATATTTCTCAAAATTCTGACTTGCTAATTTACATTGCTTTTTAGCTCAATTTTCCGGATACGCAGACAGTTGCGATCTCATCCATAATGTATTTATAACATGAGCAAAAATGTATAATAAGCTTACTAAGCGGTTGGTTTTCGACATCATTTACCCGCATTGCTGTACTGCTCGGTTCATCCATTTGTGATTTTTCATACAATTCTGGAAATTTTCGAAGCAACCATTCCTCTAAAACAGCGCCACGTTTCCGACAGTTTGCATTTTCCAGCTCTGGATTGGAGGTTAATGTATTGTCCACGGTGTCGAATGTTGTCGCGCTGAGCAGTGCTTTCAATGAACTCATTGTATCACTGAAATGCAGTAAATAGCTTGTTTTTTTTATTATTTTATTTAGGGACAAGAAAACAGCGATCACTCGGTTGAATCCTAAAGAGGTGGTACGCCTACATTGAATAGGCGGTAAATTCAAATTGGAGGCATGCAGTTCTGGATCGAAGAGTTTGGCATAGCTGCATTTGGCACATGGGAGCATGCCAGTAGCATCATTAATACGGGATACCCTCATCGATTGTCCAAAGGTCTTGGTATTCTTGATTTCACTTTTTTGAAGCAAATTTCGCTTAGCACATTTCAAATTCGAAATTAAAATAAAAATCAACTGACCAAACAAAAAAGAGCAAAAATAAGTACCGCAGAGTTGTTCGGAATGTTTTAGAAATGGCTAGCTGTGTGAATATAACTGTAAACAACTGTGGAAAAAGAGGCAATCAGTTGGAGTTTGTTCTATTCCAAAATCAAATGATATAGAAAAAGAAATAGACACAGAGCATTTGCTATGCAAATGTGAACGAAAGAGCAGGGAAAATTCGGGTAGCATCAGCAGCAAGAGCAGTAGGACGGTACTGGAAAACCAAAATGGGGTGACCCACAAATCGTGGATATCGCACAGAGCGGCTTACTGGTCCAGCTGCACTTAGTTTCCAAACAAGTATTCAGAACGCATAATATCATTGCACATTTCCAGTCACATCAGCCATCTTAATGTACTTGGCTCCTATTTTCCTCTCAGCAAGTTTGGTTGCTAAAATCAAAACCTTCTCCAAACTCACGCTTAGTTAAAGGCTGAAGCTTTCGAAAGTAGCCGAGCAGCAGACAATATAATAACACTGCCTCGGCGAATCGTGTATTCATTCTGATAGCAAACCATGCCGGTATATGCACTGGGACTAAACTCCTCGATTAGGTTTTTTTGGCACTCACGGAAAGAGGAAGCCACTAACAGTTTTGCCAGCGCCTAATTCCCGTTAGCAAATGATATGTCCCGGTGACTTTCGAGTGATTTCTTCTCTTATAGAGGGGGGAGTAGTCTGGACAATAGCCTAACGACCGGAAAGCTGGTCCATTCCGATCTACAACTTCTGAGAGCCAAGTTTTTTTTTTTCTAATTGAGCTGCAGAGTTTTCTGCATTTCTAGCTGTGCTGCGTGATATACAGAGCTGAAAGAAAAAAAAATGAAACTCAAAAATAAAAAGATGTATTACGAGTTGACTTAATTCGTTCACTCACTAGTTAGCACTGATTTAACTGTGGCTTCTCATAAAATGATATTAAAAGCGCGGAAGGATTTCAAAAAACAAAGATCCTAAAGTTATTCTATGAACGAACTCGCACGGAAGACCACTGTATTTCAATGGAAAAGTGTATGGATGAGCTTAAGCAGAAAGAGGAAATAGCAGAGGAAAAAAAGGCGTGATGGTACTACCTAAATACTACGGCAAAGTTTACTTGGTCAGCAATAAAGAAGTGAGTGCCAGACAAATGAGTGAAAGGCAAAGCTGTGAACTGCTGGAGCAACAAATGAAAATAAAAGTCAGACTGAAATTGAAAATGTAGCAAGGAAAAACTATTGAAGTGTCAATTGAAAATGTGCATGGAGAAAAAATGGGCACACAAGGACCGGCGGCGACACCAGTGTCCGGCCGTTCCAACTGACCGCTTCGTGTCTTTCTCTGCGCGGCTGTGGAAGACTGTCCTACCTCAGCAGACTTCTCGGATCCGCGCTCTTTTCAATCCTTCCTCCGGCGTTTATGTCTATGTGCCTGCGAATTTACGCCGAGAGTGCTCAAATTTTGTGCATATTAATTAACATGTCACATAAATTATTCACAACGAGGGTGAAGTCTCTCAAAATAAAAAGATAATCCGCGTTCCGCCGACATCCAGCGTTGCAGCCGAATCAGTTGCTGCTGATGCTGCTTGCTGTTCTTGTTGTTGTTGTTGTTTTGGAGATGAGAGAGGAAGTACATGAAATCACGGATTGGTATATTCTGAATAGGGGAAAAATGATGCGGAGGTCGGCGGGTCACTGTAGGCATGACTAGAACCCGTTTTCTTTTTCAGCGTTTCTAGGTCACTGGGCCGGCAGATATACAAACCAGCGTCGAAGAGTAGTATGGTTGAAGGGATTGGTGAAAGGAGAGAGAGTGTTTTCCCCTTTCTCCCTCAAAATCGGATTTTGTCCAGGTATAGCTCTTTCGGCCCTGTCATCTTTCCTGCTCAGTGGCAACTCGTTTTGCAACATATTTGCCTCCAGTACTCCAGGCACAGTTTGATATGAATGCCTGAAAAGCACTATGCACACCATATGAAGACGTAGAGCAACGAAAAGTGTAGGTAGTGCCATTAGCAGGGAATGGAAAGACCTCTTGTCAATATGCATTTTTGCATTTTTAAAATGCCTACTGACAACAGGTTGTCAGTTTGTGTTCGATTGGGGTATGTTCGAATTTTTTTCACTCGCTTACGGCTCAGCAAGCAAAGAAGCAAAGTTAGAACTTTGCGAGGGTATTCCCGATCGTATGCGAACCTGTAAATCTAAAAAGCATTACTCACACCTACTTCGCCCCACGTACGAACGTCTAAAAGCAGTGGTTTACAATGATGTTTGAAAAGAAAAACAATGATATTTTTCGGAATCCTTATAGAGGAAAAGTATTTTCCGTGATTTTCCAAAATAAAAACATGCACTGCAGACACAATATATAAATAGTAATCCTAGTAAACATTTTAAAAAAAATTGGCCAACGCACGGGCTGCCGTGCGAAGGTGCGTTTTTTGCAGAGTTCCCCGCAGTT